TGGAGGTATGTTACTTAGACTTCAGCAAGGCTTTTGACTCGATGAGTCTTACGTTGCTGGACACGACGCTACCAACTTTTGGAATGGTTGAGTCAGCGTGTCAGTGGCTGAAGCATTTTCTAAACAACCGTAGCTTCACTGTACTAGTTGTCAGCTACACTTCGCGATCAGAGAGGGTTACAAGCGGGGTGTCCTAAGGCTCTGATCTTGGGCTCCTTCTTTTCCTTCTTTTTATCTGAAGGACCTGAATCTCTTCTCGCTGTCACGCCGAAGGACCAGATGTGACTTCATAGAGGCCTTCAAGATAGTTAAGGGGTTGTCGGGCATAGAACTAAGCAGCCCCCTGATTCCTTCACCAGAGTGCGGCAATAGAGGTCATAGACTTAAGCTGGAAAGAGAGCACTCCAGGGTGGAGCTGAGGGCCAGGTTCTTCACAAACCGTGTGATACCTTTGTGGAACAGATTGCCGGAAAATGTCGTAAGCGGCTCAACAATTGTAGGCTTCAAAAAGGCCTTGGATCTGTGCTGGGATGTGGTTTTCCCGGAGCTGGCCATTTGAGGGACGACAACGGAAAAAGGTGAGTCGTTCCTATGATAATGTATTTTAGGTCAGCTTAGGTCAGGTTGCACAGGACTGGTAGTGGCCACAGAGTCTAGAATTCCCTCGGTGGTGTGCTCATGAGTGTGCATCCACCTCTCCAACTTTCTTCGCCTATCTGCAAACAGAGAGAAAGAGAAACCTTACTTCTCGCCGTGTCGGCGACAGACTTTTAATATGAATGCGTTCCATATGGCATACAGAAAAAAAACGTTATGAACTTAACGGTCGTATTCTGTTCAGTATTCCCCGTTTGGAAACAGTTCTAACCATGTCTTATCCAAAGCCAGTTTGTAGGCGTGAATACTAGGCAAGTTGACTAGTTTCTCAGGTAGTCTATTCCACCTATTTACTATTCTATTGCTGAAGTAGTTGGACCTCACACCTAAGCTACTCCTTTTCTTCATCAGTTTGTGCTTATGGCCCCTGGTACCAGCATACGGGGCATCAGTGAAGAGTTCCTCCGGGGGAATCCCAGAGAACCCCCTCCTAATTTTGAACGCTTCTGTGAGGTCTCCTCTAATTTGCCTCCTTTCTAGTGAGAATAGATTGAGGTCCCTTAATCTTCCCTGGTACGATATACCCCTCTGTCCTTCTACCATTCTTTTAGCTAGTCTCTGCACTTTCTCCAGGCAGGCAGCGTCTTTTTTGTGCAGGGGTGCCTTGAGAGCTGCGATTTTGCATTGGCTGCCCCAGCTGAAATCTGAATTCATTACTACCCCCAAGATCCTTGGCAGATCCTACCGGTTTGAATTCAAACACTCCCCAGGTTCCGGTAGCAACTAAGGGATCTGTTTGCTTGGTCAATAGTTGACACTTGGCTGCATTCAGTGCCAAGTCCCACTCATTTGACCANTTCCGGTAGCAACTAAGGGATCTGTTTGCTTGGTCAATAGTTGACACTTGGCTGCATTCAGTGCCAAGTCCCACTTATTTGACCACTCAACCACCCGTTCAACATCGCTCACTAGGTTAGCTCTACCACTCGATCCCACCACCTTCACATCATCCACGAAGACGAAACAAGTTGAGTTTTTTAACCCCGCCAAGTCGTTGATGAATAAGAGGAAGAGTAACGGTCCGAGCACTGAACCTT